TTGGCTCCTCTAGACCACTGAACTTCGTATTGCGGGCATTTCCGCGTACCTAGCTAAGTCGCCGTTCTAAAATTCCGCCTTCGTACGAGCATCCTCGTACTCCCGCCGAGCGTAATCGGCAGCCTAAAGTCCTTATATCGCGTTTATTCGCCGGGATTTCAAACCATAGTCCGTCCGACAGGCAAAACCGCGTCGACCAATCCGCGCCGCCGAATAGTCCGCATTGATCTACGATCGAACGGACTCGCGATACCGTCACGAACGCACTCACCGACTAGCGCTCCGTCTTGTACCAACCGTTGCGACACGATCGCCCGCGCTTGCGCTCTCGCCGACCGCACCAGGACGCCTCACGTCATACTTTATAGTTTCACATTTATTTTCACGTTGCTTTTGCATTTATTTTGCGCCGCTTTAAAATAATTATTTCACCGTTGATCAAATAATTATTTCGCTATTGCCGATACCTCGCTTTTATTTTCACGTTGCTTTTGCATTTATTTTACGCCGCCTTAAATAATTATTTCACCGACGCTCCAATAATTATTTCACTATCAATTTATTTACCATCGTCTTTATATTTATTTTCACGCTACTTGTAGAACTTATTTCACGCCGCTTCAAGAATTATTTCGCCATTGCCAAATAATTATTTCACCGTGGCTACTCTACCGATCGCATCAATATTCTGTTACTTATTTCACCATTGCTATACTTTTATATCTATTCCACGCTGCTCAAATAATTATTCAGCCGTTGCTTAATAATCATTTCGCCATCGCTTGTATATTCTTTCACATCGCACGTACACACAGTCATCAAACATACTTAATTGAATAAACACGTTTTCTGATTTATCATTAACCAAACGCATATCTTCTTTGACACACCCCCAACCGTCCGAACCTGGATTCCGTCGAGCTATACTGCGCTCGAAAAGCTCACACGGTTTCAAGTTTTTCTTTAGCTTTTTCTTATTATTACACGTTGTTTTGTTTCATATTGCGTAATATGTAATGTGATACACACAATAGTTCTAATCATACTGCGATATAAAGTGCAAAATTAGTTGCAAATGAATTGTTATGTATGTTGGTTTCAATTCTTTATAACATATTTATAGTACAACAGTATTTTTAGTTCTTTTCACGATTTTTAAGAGGAATAATAATTTGCTGGATGTTATTTTTTTAAGTTTCATTAGTTTTTCAATAGTTTTCCTTATTAAAACACGTTGCGTTTTGTTTTATATTGCGTTGTAATTTGATATGTGATACGTAATAATAATCATATTGCGATATAAGGTGCAAAATTAGTTATTACATATGTTAGTTTAAATATTTCATAGTATACATGTTTATTGTACAACAGTATATTGCATTGCAATATAATTTATAATGTGATACATAATAGTCATAATCATTACGGAGTGACAATTTGGAGTGTTGTAACTTTAAAGAATATGTGCAAACAATTTTCTAAGCAAGCATATTTCTACTTTTTATATAGTGTGTGTATGTTATGTTCAAATAATTAAAAATTATACTATTCCTTGCATAACGTGTTATATTTTGTTATATTTTTTAACCTTTCTTATTGTATTGCCTTGTAATAAGTTATATTATTGTTTTCAGAGCGTCTCAGTGTAAATTCTCTCCATATCCTCATTTCTGCAAAATGGCATTGCGCTTGTATGCCTTTGTAAAAAGAGGAAGTAAAATAATCAGGAAGACATGTATCAGAAGTTAAAATAATTATATTTAATATTTGTAACAAATT